ACCCCATAGAGCACACTCCTATGGGGGCCACACCCCCCATGGGCACCCAGGGCCACCACCCTGGTCAAAAATGTCACTTGTCCAAAATGTCCTCACTGGGGTCCCCAGTGTCCCCATATCCATAATGTCCCTATGTCTCCACATCCCCAATGTCCCCAGTATCTCCATGTCCCCATATCCCCCCTCCATATCCACAACATCCTCATGTCCCCAACGCCCGCAGTGTCCCCATGCTCCCCCCACCCCCCCCCAGTGTCACATTGTCCCCAGGCAGCTGGCATTGCCACGTGTCCCCCTCTGTCCTCGGTGTCCCCATGTCCTCCCCCTCCCCCCAACCCCAACTGTGGCCCCCAAAAAGGGGAACCGAAAGGGGAAGCGCCACTGGGTGGGGAGGGGGGGGACAACTTCTGGGGAAGGGACAGGAGGGGGGGGAACGTGGGGACATGGGGATGTGGGGACACTGGGGACACTGGGGACATGGGGACACTGGGGACATGGGGACATTAGGGACACGGGGATGTGGGGACACAGTCCTTCCTTATGTCTCCTTGTGTCCCCATGTCCCTTATGTCCCACATCCCCACAGCCCCAATGCCCCCGCATCCCTATCATGTCCCCATTTATCCCTGCAGTCCTCATTGTCCCCACTGTCCCCGATGGTCCCCAATGAGCTCTGATGTCCCCATTGTCCCTATTGACCCCAATGCCCTTCATGGTCCCCAAAGTCCACACTGTCCCTATTGTCGCCATTGTCCCTAAATTCTCCATTGTCCCAATTGACCCCAAAAGCCCCTGATGTCCTCACCGTCCCCAAAGTTCCCATTGTTTTTACTATCCCCATTGTCCCCATGATCCTCAGTGTCCCCAGTGTCCCCCAGTGTCTCCCCGCCCCACCGTCCCCAGCCCCTTCCCCTATAAAGCCCTCTGGAGGACCGCACGGAGGGGGGGGGCACTACAAGCAGAGCGCCGCTCTGCGCGCTCCCACTCTATGATACGAGAGCGGGGGTGCGAGTCGAGCACTTCCTGTCCCCACAGATCAGAGCTCCGCTTACTTCCGGTTGCCTCACCCCCCTCCTTCCCCAGGTGACTTCCGGTTCCGGCGCAGCTGAGTTCCGGTTCCGGCGCGGTGCCCTGGTGACCGCCAGTGCCATGGGCGCTCACCTGGCGCGGCGCTATGCGGGGGGGGCGGACACGGAGCCGGATCCGCTGGCGATGCCCACGTTCCCCGCCGACCTGGGGCTGCCAGGGCGGGAGCCGCGCAGTAAGGGGGGGCCTGGGCCCAGGGGGGGTCCGTGTGCGGCCTGAGGGGGGTCCGTGTGAGGCCTGGGGGGTTTCTGTAGGGCCGGGGTTGGGCTGTATGGATCTGAGGGGTCCGCATGGGGTCCGGGGAGGGGGCGTGTGGGGTCTGCGGGGTCTCTGTAGGATCGGAGAGGGTCTGTATGGAGCTCGGGGGAGTCCCTAAGGGGTCCCTGAGGGGCCTGGGCGATCCATGTGGGTGTCTGTGGGGTCGGGGGTCTCTGTGGGGCTGAGGGGGTCCGTGTGGGGCGGTGGCGGCTACCTCCACTGTCCCCCTGGTCATGTCCCCAGTCCCCAGCCCATGTCCCTTTGCCCCCTCCCCCGTAACCCCATCCCCAACCACTGACCCCTTATCCCCTGTCCCCAGCCAATGACCCCAATCCCTTCCTCTCCTGCCCCCCGACTGCGTCCCCCTGTCCCCAACCAATGTCACTTTGCTCCCCTCTGACCCTGTTCCCTGTGTTTCTCCATCCCCAACCCCTGTCCCCAACCCCATCCCATTGTATCCTGTCCCCCTGTCCCCAACCAATGTCCCCGTCCTGTCTCTTCACCTCCCGTCCTGACTGTGCCCGTGTCCCCAACCCCGTCCCTTCACCCCCTGCCCCCCTGATGGTGTCCCTTTGCCCCCAGCCATGGTGGCCACAGCTCAGCAGTTGTCGGACGGCCGCGTCCCGTTGGCGCAGCGGGATTTCTGTGCCCACCACCTCCTGCGCCTGATGCGCTGCCGCCGCGACGCCTTCCCCAGCCTGTGGCAGTGCCAGCACCTGAGGCACCAGTGGGACAGCTGCCAGCACCACGAGTAGGGGGCGGGGGACGGGGGGCAGGGGGACGGGGGGAGGCCAGGGGGGTAGGGGGGACGTGGGGACATCGAGGGGAGGGGGACAGGGGAAGACATAGGGACAAAATGAGGACGTGGGGACAAGGTGGAGCGTGGGGATGTGAGGACAAGGTGGGGGCGTGGGGACAAAATGGGGCGTGGGGTCAAGGGGGGGGGGGACATGGGGACAAGGAGGGGTACAGGGATATGGGGATGGAGTGGGGGTATGGGGACCAGAAGGGAGCACAGGACAAGGTGAGGACGTGGGACGTGGAGGGGACAGAGGGACAAGGAGGGAACAAAGTGGGGACATGGGGTCAAGTAGGGGGGATGGGGACAAAATGGGGCATGGGGTCAAGGCGGGACATGGGAACAAGGAGGGGACACGGGGACAAGGTGGGGTATGGGAACAGAGTGGGGACATGGGGACAAGGTGGGGTATGGGAACAGAGTGGGGACATGGGGACAAAGTGGGGACATGGGGACAAGGTGGGGTATGGGGACAAAGTGGGACATGAGGACCAGAAGGGGATATGGGGGCACAGGCTCAAGGAGGGGACGTGGGAACAGAATGAGGCATGGGGACAAAACGGGGGACACCGGGGACACGGGGACGAGGAGGGGCCGTCCGTCCGTCTGTCCGCAGTTACGTGATGCGCATGAAGGAGTTTGAGCGCGAGCGGCGGCTGCTGCAGCGCCAGAAGCGAATCCAGAAGCGGGAGGCGGCAGTGGCTGCGGAGTGACACCCTGGGGACCCCCCCCCCCCACGGGACCCCCACCCTGTGGGTAGCACTGGGCATGGAATAAAGCTCCAAACGGGAGCCCGCGTCCTTGGGGACAGTGACACTGACACACGTGTGGAAGGGACGTCTTTTATTCTTGTCTGCGGGGACAGCGATGGTCGCACGCGGGGGACGCGGTCATGCCCAGCCGCCACAGGACAGTGATGCGCCACACGTGAGTGACACGCGCCACACGTGTCCCCGCGGGGCGGTCATGCGTCCCTTGTGGTGACACCGATCATTCCTGACCCCGTGGAATGGTGACATGGGCTCACACCCGGCCCACTGTGACAGTCGGTGACAGCATGGGATGGGGGCGCCATGATTGCATCCACCACCACAGTGGGGGGGGGGGGGTCTGCTGTCCCCAAGGTGCCACCCAGATGTCCTTTGTCACCCGAGGCCCATTGTCACCTAAGCGTCCTTCGTCACCAAGGCCCTCTGTCACCCAGGGGCCTTTTGTCACCCGGATGCCTTTTGTCACCCAGCTGTTGCTTGTCACCCACGTGCTCTCCGTCACCCAGATGTCCTTTGTCACTCGAGTGTCCCCTGTCACTCAGACGATGTCCTCAGTCACCCAGATGTCCTTTGTCACCCAGGTGTCCTTTGTCACCCAGGTGTCCTTTGTCACCCAGGTGCCCCCTGTCACCCAGACGTCCCCTGTCACCCAAATGTCCCCGTCGCTCGGGTGTCCTTTGTCCCTTGGGTGTCCCCCATCACCCAGACATACCCCGTCGCTCGGGTGCCCCCCGTCACCCCGACGTCCCCCTGGCTGTCCCCTGGGCTGGGGGGTGGTGGCAGTGTCCCCTCACAGCAGGAAGGGGACGATGGGGGAGCGCAGCGGTGGGTAATCGCGGAACTCCCGCAGGTAGCTGCGGTGCTTCCCCTGCGCCCATATCGCCATCTGCACGAAGCCCACCAGGGAGAACAGGGCCACTGTGGGGGGGGGACGGCGTCAGTGCCATGGGGGGGACGGGGGGGTTGGAGGGGACATGGGGATATCTGTACAAAGCCCACCAGAGGGAACAGAGCCACTGCGGGGGGAGAAGGGGATG